AACCTCACGTCTACAACAATCCATGCGTGTATTGCAGCATCAAAACGGCGACTCACCGAGTTGCGGGACTACCTAGGTCTCCAGGACGCTGCAGATGAAGAAGTGCGGTGGACGAGCAAGTGTTACCAGACATCAGACATGCATCAAACGATGATGACCATACCTCCGATCATCGACTAAGCAGCAGCAACTCGTCCAGCAGCGGCATGGACGACGACTGTGATCCTTGGCACCTGTAGAAAAGTAAACTGACTGCTTATAGAATTTTATACCTCTTTGCGTTGCATAATACTTTGAGTACTAAATTTCGGAGGTTCCAACTTTAGTAATGAATGAGATGCCACATCACACACATCCCGTGAAAGGTAATTGAATTAATAAACGTCCCCTGGAAGCTGCCCACGACTGTGAACTAATTTCGACCCCATTCTCACTCGCTCGTTGTCAAAAGAGGTACAATAGTGGTTTTAACCGGATACTACTAATTTAATATTGCCTTCGCGCTTTTTCCGGCTGATAGGGTTCGCTCAAGGGGGGTTGATTTTTCCGAAATGTCGCGAACGGATGTTTTTAATCGGAACGCGGAGAGTCCTTTTTCCAGGTGCGCGTGACGGGTTGAATCCGTCGGGATGTGAAACGGTTGCTCACGGTACATCAGGGTGTATTTGACTTTAACCCTACAGTTCTATCGACCGACCGGTCAAACCGTTGTACGGTATTGTCCTACGAAGAAGGACATAAATAGGTGAAATTACCGGAATGGTAGCTGCGCGGTCAAGGGATTGGCGGAAAAGTGCAGACGATGTTTTGACCAGAATCCTCGGTAGTTGGGATGCTGGCCGAGCAGACGCAGGATCATCTGGATGCGAGTGCGTTCGTCTTCGAGAGTCGTTGGGAGTTGAAGATGCCGTCGAATTTGCGTGGACCATTCGAGGAGACTGCCCTCCACTGTAGACGGTACGTGATGTTGCGAACAACTTTCATACTTGACCTTGTTCCGGTGGATCCAAATGCGACGCAACATGCCTCCGGTGAGTAGCGTCCACAGCAGCAAGAGTTCCGGTGCTGCGTGGGACCAACCCGGAAGAGGTAGGACTTTAGTGACGTCCAAAATGCAGGTCCAATCGAATCGTAATCCAAAATGTAGCCATGGTGCCGCCATCATATCCCAAACCGGGTGGACGCAGGGGCAGGCCATCAGAGCGTGGTGAATAGTTTCGACGGCGTGACAGCTGCCGTAGGGGCATTGCATGCAATTGGGGTGGTCTAACTGCATGTGGTAGAAGCAGTATCCAACAGGCAGTACCCGGATTTGCAGTCGAGTCCACACGTCAACTTGTAACGGTGTTGCGACGGCAATGGTGCGACGGAACAGCTTAAGGTACGTTTGCAAGGCCTCCGTGATTCCGTGTGTTCGTAGCATGGGGTGGTCACGAGTGGGCTCGGGTAGGTTTAGGCATACCCATGCATGACGATTAATTAAAATACAAATGACCGAGGAC